AAAATTGTAACTATAAATTTTAATAACTGAATTAGAGAGTGTAAAAAGGGTGTATTAAACCGAAAAGTATATAAATTTTTTATTAAGTAACTAGTTAAATTATTAGTGAAAAGGCAATTCTTTATTCATATAGTTAGGATTCAAACCTTAATTTTTATTTCCCACCCCTCTCTCCCCTCAACTAATTGGCTTTTCTTATAAAAAAATTTTACATGATAACTATAGCATTTAAAAATTTTAAGAAAAAAATATTTTTATAAGTAGCACCCTTTTCCCCGGGCGCCCTTAGGGAGGGGTGCTAGGTCCTTAATTTTGGTTAACTTATCACAAATCAAGAAATTAAAAGAATAATAAAATGTATCCTTTTAAACAAAAATAATAATATTACATTACAACTACAAATTTAAAAGATAGAGAATAAACATTAATAGTCGAACTTGTAGTTAGGACTAGGATGCCACACCACTAAGCGCTTTCAACAGGGCCAGAGGTGAGGTTGACGAATAATAAAATGTATCACACAATCTTCGCCACACAGCCATTATTTTAGGTGTGGTTATTACCAGGTTATTTTCACACTTAAATGTTGAGATTATTAATTTTTTTAATATTTTTTTTTATTGCACAATGAGAGACAATCATCTCATCTCTTATTTTATCCCACCCATATACCATACGAGTCGAATTCAGAATTTTTTACTTTTAACTAAAAGAATGACTACTGAATTACTTAAATTATTGACAATAATATTTAAAAATATCAATTAATTAATTAATTTTAATTTATTAATTAATAAGTAATAATTATAATTATTAATTATTTTTATCAATTAAATTAATATTTTTAAAGATAATATTTTATAATTTTTAATGCTTGCAAAATGTTTAAAATGATTCAGGCTTTTGAAAAGGTATTGGGAGAGCTGTTTATATATATGTATAATGTTTTAATACTTGCACGCCTCTTGTAAATGGATTTGGAGCGAGTTACCCTTTACTCTGTTTTACATAATTTTTTTTTTTTTGGTAATAAAAGAACTATTTTAAATTAAAAAATATTTTATAATTCTTAATGATCTTATTGTGGGGCCATATCTCTACCCCATTATTCCACAGCAGGGAGAAATTCTGCAATTCAATGGTTTTGGTTGTGTAAGTCTGCATGCTTTTTCAACCAATTCAATGGTTTAGGTCCGGCTCGTAGAAAATGTAATCACACAAAACCTCTTCCCAATAAGATTTAGAGCATAATTAGTTGAAGGACAACCTAACCCAAGAAATAAATTTCTTCGACCCGTGACTAGGAACAGGTATCGCACACGGAAGGCTGCCTTTTCAGACTAAGATGCATGAAAACGTAATTTGGACGAAAGTGGTACATTTATCTCTTTATTTTTAGGAATGATTAGAGAGATATTAATTAACATATATTTTAATTTAATATATTATATAA